TTTTTTTTCAATCGATGTACCGACGCGTAGACTATCAAATCACAGACTGTGATTTTGACTCGCTTCATTCTTTCTTATATATTTTTTCTATTGCCTTTTTTTCTCTCGTTCCAACTAGAGCATCGCGTATCGTTTCTTTTGTTTTAGTGCATGCTGTGCATACACTGCAAATTTTGCAATTTCGCATAAGTCAATGGAGCGATATTGTTTTTTTTTTGTTTTTTTTTTTTTTTAAGAACATGTCGCGACATGTCTCGCGATGATTTCATCGAACACATGCAAAACTGCAAATTTTGCAAATAGCGCCGATGTATGGCTGCTGCAATTATACAGATCAAATCACCGAGAGTCAATGGCATGATATCGTTTTCAAGAACATACGTGTATCGCAATGTTTAAGAACATGTCGCGACATGTCTCGCGATGATTTCATCGAACACGTGCAAAACTGCAAATTTTGCAAATAGCGCCGATGTATGGCTGCTGCAATTATACAGATCAAATCACCGAAAGTCAATGGCATGATATCGTTTTCAAGAACATACGTGTCTCGCAATGATTTCATCGAACACGTGCAAAACTGCAAATCGTACATTTTTCGATAAAAAGCAAACGATGCATCATTAGTAGGATATAAAATGACGGAGGGGGGGGGGGGGGATACGTTCAGTAGTCGAAAATTGGAAGTCGTGAGTACAACAAATTGTGTTAGAAAAAAGATCGTGTAATAACATGTGTTTTGTAAAAATACCGCGAAAAATTAAATTGAAGAGAGCGGCGATAAACATGCAATCAAGAGACAATGCATGTTTCGCATGGTCAATGGTGGCTGCTCTACATCCAGCCGAGAGACATGCAGAACGCGAATCGTCGTATCCACATTACACGTCGGTGCTAAATTTTACAGACATTGAGTTTCCAATGACGTTGGATCAAATTAAACGGTTTGAAAATCACAACAACGTCTCCATCAACGTGTACAGCATCGAGAAAAAAAACAAGGAACTTGCAATCCTACCAATACGTGTTACTGACCGAAAGATGGGCAGATACGTAAATCTGCTGTACGTGCATGACGACAACGTGGGACATTTTGCATGGATTAAGAACCTATCCCGCCTCGTGAGCTCGCAAATCAATCGACACCATGGTTGGAAATACTTTTGCGATCAGTGCGTATACATCCTAATAAATAATAAAAATAATTTTACGTAAAAGATATTAAAAAATTTCATTATTTACAGATGTTTGCACTATTTCTACACGAGCGAGAAATTGGAAGCCCACACCGTCGACAGTCGGGAGATGAACGACTGCGCGATCAAGTTACCGAGCGATAACGATAAGTGGTTGGCCTTTAAGAATCACAGCAGGCATGCATAAGATCCATATAACACAAGATGTACACCTTGTCCGAAACGAAAATAGCTCTAAGTCCGTACGACAATAAGCGATACATTATACCCGGTTCTACCGAGACGCTGCCATGGGGGGGGGGGGCATTATAAAATGCCATCGTAAATATATATTGTAATTACATTTAAATATGTATGAAAATAAATGACTCATTTGTATGTGTAATATGTTTTTATATTGTAATAAATTTTTACAATACATTATTCTTGTGTATCCATGAATTATGTGAATTATCAAATCCTAACCACTTTACATAAACTTCACCCCCCCTTTTACGCAAAACTTTTTCAACGAGATACACGTCGGGATTAGCAACGCTATGTAACTCGCATTCGTAGAAGCCGCCGGCGACGGGTTTTCCGCAGGAATCTTTTAATAGATACGTCACGGGATTAGTTTTCTGCACTTTGACGATTCTAAACACCTCCGTGGTCCAATTTGGTATATGTATCCTTTCTTGAAGATTGTCTTGAATTTACTCACGCGTACCGAGTCGCCCATTTTGAATCGCGCGGGAGCAGCGATCTTTACGTGGCTGTACACCGTTGTTAGGAGCTCGTCGGCGGGGGGGGGGGTAACATCGATAGGTCGCATGCCGATAGTTCGATGCTTTCGCGCGTTGTAATCCGATACGATAGCAGTTCAAGAGCTGTTTGGTAGCTGTTTTTAGCTGTTTTATAG